AGAAAACCCTTGACATTGCAGCCCACGCTCGCACCGCGCCCTCTCCCCCACCCCCTTATGTAGCCTTGGTGGGTTGGGCAAGCATGAGGAGGAGAGGGGCGCGTGAGGGTTCCACCTGATCCAGGAGAGAAGTCCGCACTCATGAGTCATGAGGGGGAGGGGAGGACCGTGACATCTTCGCGTCGTGAACACAAATCACGACGGGAGGCTTTTGGCCGTCGGCCACCAGGGGCCTGCGACGGGCCCAGGGATTTTGAAGATACGGCTCTGGATAGCAAGCCGGTCCCCTGGAAGGGGTCCAGACCCCTGGGAGGCCACGCTGTGGGGATGAGGGACAGGGAGAAGTCAAGGGAGTAAAAACCACCCAGGCCCGATAACTGGCGTGTATCAAACGGCCCTGGGCGTTTACCAAACAGCCCTCTCCTGTTCGATTCCTACGGTGGGTGCGTTTACTAAATTGCTTCGCGCGCCGGGGTGATTCTTATGGGGGTGTGGCTTTTCTGCCCTCTGAGAAGGGGGGGGGAATGTCGGTCATCGGATGCCTGGGGGGTGGGGAGGGGGGGGAAGGGGGGATGCCTGGGGGGGAGAGGGGGGCAGGGGGGCGGGGCCTTGGGCCGCGAGCCGGGGGGGGAGAGCGGCCGCCGGCCTGGGCGCTGGAGTGGCACCGGAGCCCGCGCGAGGTGCCCTGCGCTCGCACGCAAGCCGCAAGCTCAAGTCGGGCCTGTCCCCCTCCCAGGAGGAAGATTCAAAAATAGGTAAGATACAGTCAGGGGACGATTCTTAAAGCACTTTTGATCATTCCTGGGGTGTTTTTTATGTCTCATCTTTCGCCCTGAATCTGCCCGTAGGGGGACAGGCCCGGCCCAAACGCAAGCGCATGGTACTTCTTGCGGTTCGGGCCGCGCCTGGAGGTCGGGGGCGGCAGGGTCTCGGGATTCGGGGGGGGGCGCCGGTCAGCAAAAGATTCTGGGGCACCGCCCGTGGTCGCAGGTGCAGGGGCGAGTGCGAGGAGCACGTGGGGGGCACTGCCAGTGCTCGCCCATGCACGTGCGGGGCCATGCCAGTGCTGAGCCCTGGGCCATTCGGTGTCCGCCCATGCGGGCGCGGCCGCTGGGGCCGCAGGTGGCGGGTGCGCCATGCGTGCGCTGAGGCCGCAGGTGTAGCTTCAGAAAGGGCACGGCCCGTGTGAGGGGTGGGTCGAAATGCGTTTTGGGGGGGAGGGAGGGCGCGCGTGCAAACGTGAAGGATGAGCCCACATGGAGCGCTTGGGGGGGGGGTATGTAACCTCTCCACGCTGGGGACGAAGGGTGGGGCCCCCACGAGGCACGCAACGAGCGAGGTCTGCGCCGACGGATTCCACGCAGGAGGGTTGTGAAAGAAACGGCTCCCACTCGCGCCTCCCTTCCCTTCCTGTCGAGGGGGAGGAGGAGCATGAGCAGCAAGAGCAGGCGAGGGACGGGGACGAGGAGAAATGGAGGGGAAAGGGGCACCCGAGGTGCCCACAAGATCGGCATCACGGTGAGGAAACTCCGCGAAAACGAGCGGCCATCCATCCGTGACGCTGCTGGACCAGTTCCATACGAATGTGCGCGGCGTCGGCGCGAGAGCCGCGTTTTTTTTTGTTTGTTCTCCACCCGCCCGGCCGCTGGAAGCTCTGAAGGCGAGTGTGCGCGGTGCCAGCGCGAGAGCCACATTTCGGCAAGCGTTCGCCCTCCACCCATCTACGGCCGGACCGAGGTCTAAGCTCGTGGTGGGCTCGGGGAGGGTGTCCTGGTGCTCTTCGTGTGTGCTGGATGTTCTGGTGCATCCTGGGGGAGGGCAGCCTCGAATGTTCTTCAGTTTGGCGAGCGGAGGGTCTCATGTTCGTGAAGGACGTGTTGATGTCCTCGGCCCGACCCTATTTCGTCAAGCGTCCGCCCTCTGCCCGTGTATCGTTTGCAGCTTGCCAGCTTCGGCATCACAAGTGTTGACTGGAAGTCTCTGGCGGAACGATCCCCGCCCTCCCCTAAGTACGGGCCTTTTTCTGGCGGTGCGGCCAGAAAGAGCCCTGGCTCACGAGTGAGACGGGGGTGAGTAAACGGAGGGGGAACGAGGGCGCCCTCGAGGGCGCGAAGTTATTGCTCTCGCTACGCGGTTCGGCCCCGATTCCTCCTCGTCCTTCTCTTTTCCCATGGGGGGGTGGCGCGAGATGTCGCGAGAGCGCGAAGTACTTCGCGCAGCGCGTGGCACGGAGCGCGAAGTGAGGCTTGTCGGCGGCGAGCGAGGTGGGAAGCGAGAAGGAGAAGCCCTTCTCAGAAGGCGGCGGGGTTTCTCAGAAGCCCTCGCGCCTTCTGGTAAGATTTTCCGTGTTATCGGGGAAGGCTTAGAACATTTCTCTGAAGGCCAGGGGACTTCCGAGCCTGCTGGGAAGGCCCACCCTTTCTCACCTTCCCCCCCGGGCTCGCCGCCGAATTTGGGCAGGAGGGGATTGCGGGCGTGGCGGGTCGCCGTCAGCAAGTACTGCGATTCCACGTGGTAGTGGCCACGTGCTCAGTTGCATTTCGTACTCATCATCGTGCTTGCCAGAGCAGACACACACACACACACACACACACACACACACACGCAAAACAAACCGCCGCTGCATATGAATCTCGCAGCGGCGCGCTGGACCGCAACACCCGGCGGGATGAGGTCAGGCGGCGGACTCGGCCCTGCAGCACTCGTCGCGCAGCCTTGCCGAGGGCCCTCGCCGCCCAGAAGGCCAGGGCCAACGCGAGGGGGTGCGAGAAGCCCACCGCGCCCCGCGGCCCGGGCGACCTCAGGGCGCGGCGCGGGCCCCGCCTCCTCCTGCCCCCCCTGCCTGGGCGGGGCGGGGGGGGGCGCGGGAGCGCGAGGACGGGGCCGCGCCTCGCGGAGCGAGCGGCGCGAGGACGGCTGCCCCCGGAAAGCCAGAGGGCGGGGGGCGCGGGGGGGGAGGGCCCTGTGCTCCGACCGCCGAAGCCCGGGCCCCTGGAGCGGGGGGAGGCCTGCAGCCACCAAAGGCGGGCCCCCGGGCGGCCCCACAGGGAGACGCAGCAGCTGGCGAGGGGGCGGCGGGTCCGGGCGCGCAACGCCGGGAGGACGCACAGCGCGGGAAGCGAGCCGGGGGGGGGGAGCAAAAACGCACGGGCACCAGGGAGGCAAGGGAGGAGGAGGAGGAGGAGGAGGCGGAGCAGGAGGAGGAGGAGGAGGAGGAGGAGGAGGAGGAGGAGCAGGAGGAGGAGGAGGAGGAGGAGGAGCAGGAGGAGGAGGGGGGAGGACTAGGAGGAGGAGGAGGAGGAGGAAGAGGAGGAGGAGAGACGTGCAGGAGGAGGCGGCGTCGTCGATCCCCAGGAGAAGAAATCAATGTGAAGGAAGACAGCTCGCCGCTTGTGCCCCACCGCCAGCCCAAACGGCGAGCGTAAACCAGGCGTAGCCCCGCGACGCATTTGGATGCCCACGCTTCGCCTCGTATTCCTCACAGGCCCCCAGCACGGTGAGTACGTTGACGGCGTCCTGGTCGTACCAGGGGCACACACATGTTGCGCCCTCGGCGGCCGAGAATAAAGCCGTCTCCCATAGGTTGCGCCATAGGTTGCGCCCTCAGCCGCCGAGAATAAAACCGTCTCCTACTGGTTGCGCCATAGCTCGCGCTCTAAACCGTCTCCTATCAATTGCGCTATTTAGTTGCGCCCTCGGCGGCCCAGCATAAAACCATCCCTTATAGGTTGCGCCATCGGTTGCGCCCTCGGCGGCCGAGAATAACACCGTCTCCTAGCGGTCGCGCCATAGGATGCGCCCTCGGCCGCTAATAATAAAACCGTTTCCTATATGTTGCGCCATGGGTTGCGCCCTCTGCGGCCGAGAACAAAACCGTCTCCCATCGGTTGCACCATAAGTTGCGCCCTCGAAGGCCGAGTATAAAACCGTTTCCTCTCGGTTGCGCCAAAGTTTGGGCCCTTCGGCGGTCGAGAATAAAACCATCTCGTATTGGTTGCGCCATAGGTTGCGCTTCGGCCGCCGAGAATCAAACCGTTTCCTATTGGTTGCGCCAAAGGTTGCGCTCTCGGCGGCCGAGCATAAAACCGTCTTCTAGCGGTTGTGCCACAGGTCGCGCCTTCGGTCGCCAAAACAAAACCGGTTCCTACCCGTGGCGCCCTAGGTTACGGCCTCGGCGGCCGAGAGTATAACCGCCTCCTGTTGGTTGAGCCATCGGCTGCGCGCTCGGCGGCCGAGAACCAAACCGTCTCCTCTCGGTTGCGCCATAGGTTGCGCCCTCGGCGGCCGAGGGTAAAGCCGTCGCGGAACGAGTGAGACCAGTCAGTTCTGTTCAGTTCGCTTCACTTCACTTCAGTCCAGTCCAGTCCAGTCCAGTCCAGTCAGTTAACCTCGCGAGAAACAAATCCGGGCTACGCCCGAAACAAAAACAAAGGGACTGCTTGGATGTGTGCCTATTCACTTGCGTGTCCCTGGACTCCTTTTCACAACTTGGCATCGCTCGGACGGGCGCAGTTTTTCTCGGCGAGGACTATGGAGGAGAATCCTGGACCACCTCGCGAACCAAAAAACACGAAATCGACAAGTCCACGGGGAATGAACGTCCGAGCGATGGCGAGCGTGTCCCTGGGCCCCTTTGACAATCAAGGGCGGAAAAACCACACAGACCCCAACAAATGACTCAACGGCCCGCTGGCCGTTTACGAAACAGCCTTGCCTTGCTCGATCCCTTCCTTGGGGGGGCGTTTCCCAAACGGCTCCGCTCGTCGGGGTGCTTCTTGTAGTCTGGGGGGAGGTTCTCTGCTTTCTAAGCAAGGGGCATGGGATGGGGGAGGTAGCGATGGCGATCGCTAGAAGGAGGAGGAGGAGGAGGAGGAGGAGGAGGAGGAGGAGGAGGAGGAGGAGGGGGAGGACAGGAGGAGGAGGGAGGAGGAGGAGGAGGAGGAGGAGGAGGATGGCATGGCAGGCGGGGCGCAGCAGGAACCGCGCGAGGGGGCCTCGAGGCGGCTTCGCCGGCCGCCGCGCAGCCCGGCGGCCACGGGCGCCGGCTCAGCGCGTCGCTGTCCGTCACGGAGGCCACGGCCCGCCTCCTGGAGGCGCCTCCCCTCGCGGCGGCGCCGGCGGCGGCCAAGGCGACGGCGACGGCGCCGGGGGCGGCGAGGGGGCGGGGGAGGAGGGGTGGTGGGGAGGACGAGGAGAAGGAGGAGAGGGGGGGGGAAAAGCCCGAGGAGCAGGAGGAGGAGGAGGAGGAGGAGGAGGAGGAGGAGGTGGAGGAGAGGAGGAGGAGGGAGAAGAGGGGAGGGCGGGGGAGGGCACAGAGGAGCAGGGAGCGAGAGGGGAGGGAGCAGGACAGCGGGGGAGGGCACAGGAGACGAGGAGGAGGAGGAGGAGGAGGCGGGAACAGGAGGCGAGGAGCAGGGGGGGAGGGTGCGAGGGTGGGCCATGGCGGCATCGGCACCCCGAGCATGCCCCAGGAGGCCTCCAGGAGGCCCCGGGGGGCTCCGCCCCGTCCAGCGGCTCGGCATCCCGGCGCGGAGCGCCCAGACTTCGCCTGGCGCTGCGGCGGGGATCGCGGCGGGCGTGCCCTCCCTTGCGTGCCCTCCCGTGCTCTCTCTCTGGCTAGGCGGTTCTGGCCGCCTTCGTCACCCCGGGCCATCCAGAAACGACCCGCGACGCGAGTGGCGGCGGCGGGCCGATTTGGTCCAGGGCTCCACGCAGACAAAAAAATGATCTGTCAACACAGCAGTGCCCTCTGAGGGGCAGCGCTCGTTCGGTCAGCGTATCGGGAGGTGTTGGACGCGTCGCGTGACCCTGCCCAGGCGAGCTGCCTTGGTCGGGGGTGTGGGGGAGCGTGCGGTGGGACGAGGGGGAGGAGGGGGAGGAGGGAGGAACAAGGAAGCGGGAAGGACAAGCGGAGGAGGATGAGGAGGGATGTGGAGGAGGGAGCGGGAAGAACAAGCGGATGAGGATGAGGAGGAGGAGGAGGAGGAGGAAGAGGAGGAGGAGGAGGAGGAGGAGGAGGAGGAGAGCGAGCAGAAAGGCCAGAGACCTCTTGGATGCCTCTCGGAGTCTCTTTGGAAGTCTCTCGATAATGTCTGTGGGTCCTCTTGTGGCGTCTCGGGGTTCGTGCAGACATCCGGCTATGAATCTCGGGAAGACTCCAAGGGCAGAGGTGCCTGGACCGACGAGATGTGGAGCCAACGTGCGCAGCCCAACGACATGGATCTGGAGTGCGCGACCCAAGTTCGGGTAGGGTACGTCAGTCGCTGCAAGGCGGTGGAGGTGCTCCACTCCCGCGAGCGGTCCAGGGCGCCGCAGAAGCGGCGCGCAGGGGTAGCGAGGGAGCTGGCCTCCGTGCAGGGCGCCCTCCGGGCGGACAGCATGGCTGGCGTAGCCCCATGGCGTCGTCAGTCCCAGGGCAAGCAGCTCCGGATCCGTGAGGAGGGCACGCTCGTCTTTTTTGAGCGGGCCACCACAGACCACCCACATCTGAGATCCGAGTGCGCAACGCGCGTTCCGAGTCGTGTTAGCGGTCGCGCCACGTGCGCCTGCGAACCCGCCGCCCGCCAGCACACATCATGGACTCATTAGTGGAGGAGGACGATGAAGTACATCTTCCCCCCGTCCAGGGGGTCGCCCTCGTCTTGTGTAGGGCAGACGAGTAAAATCTCGGGGGCGAAGCAGTTTTTTTGATTATCCCCTCCCGCTAGATTTTTGGGGGCGTCGCGTTGGCCGTCGTCATTCCGTCGGTCGTCATCCCGTTGTCGTCGTCGGCGTCGTCCATCGTCCAGCGTCCACCGTCGGTCGTCGTCGTCGTCCGTCGTGGGTCATCAGTCGTCCGTCAGTCGTCCGTCGTCGTCGTCGTCGGTCGCTTGTCGTCGGTTGTCGATCACCCGTCGTCGGTCGCCGTCGTCGTCGTGGTCGTCGTCGTCGCCATTGTCACCGCAGGACTTCAAGACGCCCACGCAGCCCCCCACCTCCCCCTACGTGCCATCCGCACTCCGCCGCATGCTGCAGTCCGCAGCCCGCCGTCGTGTTTGTCATCCTCGTTCGCCGCCCCAGGACTGCAAGACGCCCAAGCAGCCCCCCCGTCGCCATCTGCATGCCATCATCTGCAGCAGTCCGCCGTCGTCGTCGTCGTCCGTCGTCATCCTTCGTCGGTTTTCGATCGTCCGTCGTCGGTCGCCGTCGTCGTCGTCGTCGTCGCAGCTGTCGCCGCAGGACTTCAAAACGCCCACACAGCCCCCCACCTCCCCCTAATCACGTGCCATCCGCACTCCGCCGCATGCTGCAATCCGCAGTCCGCCGTTGTGTTTGTCATCGTCGTTCGTCGCCCCAGGAAAGCAAGATGCCCAAGCAGCCCCCCCGTTGCCATCTGCATGCCATCATCCGCAGTAGTCCGCCGTCGTCGCCGTCCGTCGTCATCCTTCGTCATCGTCGTCGTCGCCGCCGCCGCCGTCGTCGTCGTCGTCGTCGCCGTCGTCGTCGTCGTCGTCGTCCGCCGTCGGTTGTTGGTCGTCCGTCGTCTGTCGTGGTCGTCGCCCCAGGACTGCATGACGCCCACGCAGCACCCCCCCCCCATCACCCCCGTTTGCCATCCGCACGTCATCATCAGCAGCAGTCCGCCGTCGTCGTCGTCCGTTGTCGTGCCGCAGTCCGCCGTTGCCTTCGCCGTGTTCGCAGTCGTCGTCGCCCCAGGATTGCAGGACGCCCACGCCAGGGGGCAGGGTGTGCATTTGACCAGTCCGAAACTCTCCACCCCGGCCGCTCCGAACTGTCAGCTGTCGGGCTTCCCTTGGCCTCCCACACTGTCCGAGGGCCAACCCGAATCGTCCACCTTCCGGGGGCCGAGCACCGTGGCCCGCCATTACGAGGGCCGCAGAGCCGGTGGCATTCTTCCTGAACGATCTCGTGGCGTTGGGTCTTCATCTGGAGGAGGCAGCGCCCCGCGTCACCTCACCTCCCGCTGCCCCGTCCCTGCCCCCATCCCTTGCCTCCTGCTCTCCGCATGCCAGCTAGCGCTGCACGCCCCTCACAAGGATCGTGGCCCGATGGGGAGCTCCACCGAAGGCCCCAGTGGCGCAGGCCGCATGCGCCCGACGCCCATGTTGGCACACACCTCACACGGTTCGCGGTCCCATAGGGAGCCCCATTGAAAGCCCCAGTGGCACAGGCCGCATGCGGCCGACTCCCATTTTGGCACACCGCTCACACGGCTCGTGGTTCTATAGGGAGTTCCACCGAAGGCCCCAGTGGCACAGGCCGCATGCGCCCGACGCCCATTTTGGCACACCCTTTCGTGGACCCATAGGATGCTCCGCCGAAAGCCTCAGTGGCACAGGCCGCGTGCGCCCGACGCCCATTCTGGCACACACCTCACACGGTTCGTGGACCCATAGGGGGCTCCACCGAAGGCCCTAGTGGCACAGGCCGCTTGCGCCCGACGCCCATCTTGGCACACGCCTCACGCGGTTCGTCGCCCCATTGGGAGTTTCACCGAAGGCCCCAGTGGCACAGGCCGCATGCGCCCGACGCCCATTTTGGCACACCCTTTCGTGGACCCATAGGATGCTCCGCCGAAAGCCTCAGTGGCACAGGCCGCGTGCGCCCGACGCCCATTATGGCACACACCTCACACGGTTCGTGGACCCATAGGGGGCTCCACCGAAGGCCCTAGTGGCACAGGCCGCTTGCGCCCGACGCCCATCTTGGCACACGCCTCACGCGGTTCGTCGCCCCATTTGGAGTTCCACCGAAGCTCCCAGTGGCACAGGCCGCATGCGCCCGGCGCCCATTGTGGCACACGCCTCACACGGTCCGTGGCCCAACAGGGAGCTCCACCGAAGAGGCTACCCACAACGCAGGTTCCACAACCGAGTATGACCGGGTCCTTCGCCAGGATAATTGTATCACCGCCTCTCTTTTTGTCGCCCACCACATTTAGGACTTATGCGCTAAATTCTGAAGCGAGCGTTCGGCGAAGTTGCGAGGCGCACATTTATCAACACCACAATCGTCGACGTCGTCCGCGTCGTCGCCGTCTTCACCGCCATGGGATTCGAAACTCGCGAAACGCTCTCGTAGTTGAAATGTGTACCGTGTACACAACGGGTGCCAACAGCCTGTCAAGAGGCGGCAGCAATTGATTCCACTTCGTGTATTGTCGTTGTCCGCGCCGTCGCTGTCATCGCCGCCGTTGGTATCGAATCGCATGATCACGGTCCCGTTGCGAAGAAGGGGCGCGGGGTGCAAAGACGGGCAAAGTTCTTTGCCGATGGGCGACTGTGGTCAATCGCTCCAGATAAAGCGAGGACCCAATTTCACAGGACGGCTGGGGGAAAAAAACAAACCTAGCATACACATGGTGTCGCTGTTTCCCAGACCTACGCAAGCAAAAAAGACCTGGCACACACACAGCGTTTCGCGGCACCGACCCAAACCGAAATGCTCGCGGTGCCCGTGACGGATGGGCCGAGCGGATGAGTTCGCCAGCCTGGATCGCAGGTTGATGGGGTTGATGGGAAAGTGTTTTGGTTTATGACATGGAGGTAACAAATATCCATCCCCAAAAAAACAAAAACTTGTCAATGAAGCGAGCGTGCGGCTTCAGTGAAGCGATTCTGCGGAGTCATGCTTCGGGCGCTTTGGGGGTCGCTATGGGGATCGATTGCGCACATATATCGATACATCGATCGATACACATGTCATATATGTATATATCGATATAAATAAATAAAATCGGGCGTCGTCGCGCCCCGACATGTATGTATATATCTAGAGAGAAGGAGAGAGAGAGAGCGAGAGAGAAAGAGAGAAAGAGAGAGAGAGAGAGAAACAGAGAGAGAGAGAGAGAGACAGAGAGAGAGAGGTTCGTGGCCCATCCCGCCACCGTGCATGGACTGCAGGTCAGAGGCCTAGTGGATGCCTGTGAGGATCTCTTCGGAGGCATTTCGGATGCCTTTTGGAGGCGGTTGTTTTGGGGTCTTGGGGCGTTTTGGGGGCCTCTTGGGGCGGAGGGATCAAAATGTCAGTTCGTGTTCCCCATCTTGGGCCCCGCTTTGGGACGTGTTTGGTGCCTCTTGGGCCGCTCTTGGCT